TTTAGCTCAGGATTTTACCCCGCTACATTAAATTTACCACCTGCCTCACAATTGCAATGTCCTGAGTTTGATCCCTGGTACAAAAAAACAAGCAAACAAACAAACAAAAAATGTTTATTGTTGAAGATTTCATTTGTCTACAACAATAGTCTAGGAGATTGTCTCAGGAGAAATGGAAACAAATATAGCCTTCTTTGTGATTTTTTTTTGTAATTTCATAATTTTTGTTCAACAGAAGCAGGACTCTTTGTACCTTAATATGCAACATTAGTTAATACTTTATGGTGCTGGCAAGACAATATTGGAGAGAAAATTAGAACATTCTACAGCAGTTCTTTGATGATTCTGTGAATATAGAGAGAACAGAGAACTTTAAGGGGCCACATTTATTTTATTGTACCTATTAAATTTGTAAAATTTTCAGTTGTATATGTTAGATGTTCCAGGTACGTGTGTTGATTCTTTGAGTGATTACATTCTATAAATCATTATTTTAGATGAATATTATAGATTCCTTATTCAGTAGCCATTCTTATCCTACTTTGGTGGCAGATACCAATTTTGTTTAAATTTGTACTCATCTTTCTTCAGTTTTGACCTAAATGTTGATTAGAGTAAATCAGTAAAGATATTCTACTTCTAAAAATTAATCCTGCATTCTACTGTGCTGATGTAGGATAACGCATCAATGTATTTTCTGGGTAATTGTTATACTGAGACGTTTTGCTTTTGTAGTACTAATGCTACAGACACTCTTGTATATGTCCCTTTGCAGTTGTGAATTTTATTTTTCATTCACTTTCTCTCCAAATATACATTTTGCTTGTTTATCCTATCTACTATATTTTGTTTCCTGTTTTGTTATTTTTCTATGCCTATCTCTATTAAAAAATGTGCTGAAGAGACTATCTAGGCTAGTTAGAATAGAAAAGGAAAAAAAAATATCCTTTACTAGCTCGGACCATTTTAATGATATTTTATTTGTGTTTGATTCATTTTACAAATAATTTATGATACTAAGAAAAAAACAGATGGTGGAAAGTAAATATTACAAATTATAGTAAGAGCTTATGCATAGAAAACATGAAATTTAATTCTAGATTGCCTGGTTTGACACTTATAAATATACATAAAATATTCATAAATGTAAATATATCCCAACAGTGTATGTTTTAAAAGGTATCTTACTTCTCATTAGCTGGAAATACTCATGAAATAAGGAATACTGATTCCAGGTATTAATATATCTTTGAAATTATAGCTTCTCTTTCTTCAGTTGTTTCTTTTTGCATTTGCACTGTCAAGATAAATAATATTGCAATATTTGATGAGTCAGTATTTTATTGAAGAAGTGATTATCTTCTTTGCTCTGATTTATTTGCAAAACATTCTTTTTGAGATCTATAAACATTAATTATAATAATTCAATAATCTTAAAATTCTAGATTGTGTGTTTCATTCTAATTATCTCTATTCCTATCTTTAGCATGTTTCCATATGAAAACTATATTTTGTAGGCAAAACTATAAATATTTGCTATAAGCATCACTGCAAAAAGTAGAGACTTCAGACAAACAGCACCTTTTTACATTTTTAGGAAGGGAGCACTGAGGGGATCAAAAGAGAATATCTCACAGATATTACTTCTATTTGTATCTTTAAAAGTTGTATTAAAATATCTATATTTCCTTAAAAAATGAAATTTCTCTGTTTTAAATTAACTTTCCTGCCATGAGAAGGTAATTCGTACCACAAAAATTAAGATTTATCATTTTTCATTCTATCGTTATCTCAATTACTCCTCATCCTTTGATTTCTAAGTTAGTAAATTTTGGGGGAAAGAAATGCTCTGTCTTATTCTTTTAGTTTAAAATAATTTTGGTGCCGAGAGATACACAAAAGTTTTCACAGATGCAGTGATTTATGATAAGGAATGATGAATGGAATCCCATAAAAACCCAAGGGCTGAAGTTCTAAGAGTCACGGGTCTGAGCCTTTTCCCTTTCCACTTACTGCTGCAATTGTGCTGTGTAATAAATTGCCCCAGACTCCGTGGCTGAGAACGACACTTATTTCTCATTTACAGCAAGTCTGGTGTTCTCCTGCAGTCCCATTCTCCAGAAAGAAGGACCAGTGACCACCTGTGTTAGTAATCTGAATTGTCAGTGTGGCTGAGTGAAGAGACTTCTGGAGAAATAACTGGATCACAGGAACACTACATTCATCGCTGAATGTGTTATTGGGAGGCAGGACCTACACAGAGCAGGGAGATCACTGGTGGTTTGGCCCCACAGGTGTATCTCTCGCCTATGCTCTTCCCCATACTCTGCTTCCCAGCCGCCATGAAAAAAAGTAGTTTTTTTTTTTGACCCCACCCTCTTCCATGATATTTCTGCCTTGGAGCCAGTAAACTACAAAATGAAGTCTCAGAATCCATAAGCTAAATTCAACTTGTCCTTTAAGTTTTGGGTGTTATTTTGTCCAAGCAATGAGAAAGCTGATTAATACACTACCTATGACATGCTTTTCTCAATGTGAAAGTGGCAGCACAAGAGGCCAAGGATGTGTGTATTTGTACTTGTTGCTACCACTGACATTCTGACTGCATTGCTGACATTCTGCTGGCCAATGTGATTTACATGGCCAAGACTGTATCAGTAGGGTGGGGATTTACATTGCAACCAAAGTGGTAGGGAACTATAAAGTTTCATGGCAAATTATCTGAACACGTTTTTATTATTCTTTGGGATCCACCCATAATCTAGTCTTTTACAGCCTTCTCAAATGGTAATGCAGTCCTAAACACTCTTCTGAGGTTCTTACCGGTGGTTTTTGTTGTCATCTTTTGAATGAAGTATCTAAGTAGTTATATTTATAATCTTTTCTTTTTTTGTAGGGCCTGTGACAATCTGGGTCACTGAGTAATAGCATTCAATTATTCATTTGCTGCTCTAAAACTAAGGATTCCAAAAAAGACACTTGGCAATATCAGATTTCAATTTATAGGGACTCTCATCTAATAACATTTTGGAAGCATTTCATTCTGAGATTTAAAATATTTAGGTTTGCATGGCTAGATTCTCTAGCAGTAGACTCAGCACTGTATTGTGAGACATGCGTTTAAGTGTACATTGTGGCCATCTTATTCCTGTAACTTTTTCATAATTAAAAAAAATTGTATTAGTGCATGTTTGCAATTCACGCAATTAACAATCATCTTGGGGAGTACAGTTACATGTATATATCCCAGCTTGTTTCTCTTTTTTAAAATCCCTCCCCTCTTCTCCCTCCTTCTCCTGTTTCCCTATCCACTTTTTCATACTTGTTGATGTTATTTGTTTTAGCTCATGTTATGGCATACAGTGTTTACATTAATTGGGGCTATTAGGTTCTTGTACATGGTATATCTTTATTCCTCTCATTTCCCCTTCCTCTCCTCCCCTCTTCTTACCCTTGTTCCCTTGGACCACTTCCCTATGGCAAGAGATCCAGCCCATTGACCCTTTCTAACCATCTTTTATCATTTTCTTTGTTTGTACTTTGCCCCATTCAAATGAGAAGTAACATATGATATTTAAGCTTGAGTGCCTGGTTTATTTCACTCAACATTATATTTTCCAGGGGCATCCATTTTTCTACAAACGTCTCCAATATATCATTCTTTATAAGTCAGTAGTATCCCACCATATATAGACACTACATTTTCTTTATCCAGTCATCTGTTGATGGGTATACAGGCTGCTTCCATGATTTAGCTATTACAAATTGTGCTTTTATAGACATAGGTATACATGTATAACTGTAGTATGATGGCTTGTACTCTTTAGAGAGGATACTTAGCAGTGGGAGAGCTGGGTAGTATGAAATTTCTACTTTTAGTTCTTTAAGAAATCTCCGTAATGATTTACATAATAATTGTACTAGTTTGCATTCCTACCAACAATGCAGGAGGGCTCCTTTTTCACCACATCCACACCAGAATTTATTTGATTTCCTAATTATTGCCATTCTTTACAAAGTAAAATGGACTCATACCATTGTCTTAATTTTCATTTCTCTAGTAGCCAGAGATTTTGAAGATTTTTTTATACATCCATTGACCATTTGTATTTTTCCCCTCTGTGAAGTCTCTGCTCATTTCTCTTGGCCATTTCTTCACTGGGTCTTTAATTTTAGGTAGTTTAATCTTTCTGAGTTCTCAGTATTCTACATATTTTCATTGTTATACAGATTGAGTGCAGTCCCAATCAAAATATTAACAGCAAACTTTACAGATCTAGAGAAAACAACCTTAAAATTCATATGGAGCTTGAAGAAACACAGAATAGCAAAAGTAATTTTGGGCTAAGAGCGAAGCAACTGGTATAACAATACCTGACTTAAGATATAGTACAAAGCAATAGTGATAAAAATGGCATGGTACTGGATCAAAAAAACACATGTGGATCAACAAAACGTAATTGAGGGTACAGAAATCTCACCAGACATATTCAACTATTTGTTCTTTGACAACGGGTCAAAAGTCTATGTAGGAGGAAAGATGGCATGTTCAATAGGTGCTGTTGGGAAAAGTGGTTATATGTTTGCAGAAATATGAAATTGGATCCTTATCTCTCACCATATACAAAATTAAAATCAAAATGGATCAAAGATCTAAACATTCAAACAGAAACATTAAACCTTCTAGTGATGAAATAGGTAAAATATTTGAAGACATAGGACTAGGAAAAGATTTTCCAAAAACAGAAATGCATTTGCACAAGAGATAGCAAGAATCAATAAATGGGATTATATCAGAAGAAAAAGGTTTTCTACAACAAAGGAATTAATCAACAGAGTGAAGAGACAATCTATAAAATGGGAAAAAAAATTGCCAACTACTCCTCAGAGGACTAATATCTAGAATAAAAGGAATCTCCCTAACTTTGTATCCTTTTGACTATGAGAGAAACATCCCAATGTAATCCTAATTAATTTTTATTATATTCTGTATCATATAGGACAACACTGCAAGTTGACATTCAATGATTGGATGGATTTATTTAACAAGACTTCCCAATTTTCTACTCTGTCAACCGCTTAAGGATGAAGTACATAATGTAACCAGGAAATATAGTTTCAACTTTCCAAGAAAACCACGAAAAGAGCGAGAATACCTCCAAAATACTTTTAAGAATTGCCTAGTTTCTTTTAAAAGATGCTGCCAACATTTCTTGAAGATGAGGTGATGCATTATTAATTGTTTGAAGTCTGTCTATGGTTGGTTGTGTTACTTGGTGTCAGCTAATTTCTCACTAGAATCCTCTTTTTCATTTATATGAAGGAAGCAATTCTAGTTGCCTTTGTAGGTTGAATGGAAGCAATGTGTGCTTCTTATTTGGGTTAGCTACCTAGGTAAAGCTGCAGGGAAGATGGGAGGCAGCAGTCATGTAGCACTTCCACAGCCTGCAGTTGTTGACCCTGATGTTGGGAAGCTATTCTGAAGACACGAATGAAATATTTAACCAGTTGACTCCAGATTAGTAAAAAGATTGCTTTATATAACCTTCTCTGGTAAGCTCTCCAAGGGAGCTTAATTGGGCCTTTTACAGACCCAGAAGCTTCAGGCAGATTCTAGATCTAGCCATTGCTTTCTCTGTCTGCTAAATCTTGCTTCTTGATTAAAGTAGGTGAACAAAAGTTCAGCTGGCATCCATGGGTTTCCAGTCTGGTTGAGATCTGAATTTACTAGGCTGCCTGATATGCAAACTTGAGACTTGCTTAGCCAGACTCACAACTGTGCCAGGCAGTGCATCTCTTTACAGATATGCATGTAAGTGCAGGTAAAAATAGATATAGATGCAAACCTATACATCACTCTCCATCCTTATATCCATGTTGCCTACTGGATTTGGTTTCCTGGTTGAGCTTTGATTTACACAGACCTTCAGTGTCCTTCTTAGTTTTCACAGTGCCAGAAGATAGTTTATTCCACTTGAGTGAACAAGGATATTCACTTCCTGTATTAATTTTTTTTTTTTACTGCAACACATACTTGCGATAATTGACAGAGGAAATGTTGATTTTTTTTTTCTTCCCATTTTTGGAGGTTTTAGTGTATGACTAATTGGCCCTCTTGCTTTGCACCTATGGCAGAATATCATGACAAAGGGTGCATGGTAAAGTCCTGCACCTCCTGGCCAGGATGTGAAGAGAAGTAGCTAGGATCAATCTGTCACAGGAAGACCTCTGACTGCATCCCATCTCTTAGTTTCTACCACCTTTAATAGTGCTAAGCTGGAGAATAAGCCCACTATTTGAGGAATATTTTTAGATCAAATTCAACAGTGATATAATTGTATTACTCCTCTACTGCTTGTAAGTGCATCTTGTAAGTCAGCAGTGCCTTCTTTCCCGTAGGTATCTTTGATCTTTTAATCAACCTGTATTTCATGTTAAAGAAAATGGACAACAAAGAATGAAAAGACATTTGGGAAAATCCTCCAAACGGAGGGCAAGCCAAAGAGCACAAAGCAGAAAAGAAAGCTCTTCCACAGAAAATGATTCATATCCTTAAAAAGTAGATGTCACAACAATGACTCAAGAACAATTTGAGATGAAAATAATCATTTTGAGAATAAAGAGGAAATCTTGGCAAATTAAAAATGTTTTAGCCAAAATTAAATTTTAGCAACTGGCTTAAGTGCTAAACAAATAACCCCTAAAATACACTGTATGATTATATCAAGTTCAAGATCAGACAAAACTAATCTTTGGGGATAGAAATGATGGGACTGGGTGGCTACAGAGAATGAGTGGGTGCTTTCCAGACCAGGTGAGGGAAATGTTCTACATGTAAAACACAGGCAGTAACACTGGCATTTGCATTCGGCAGACTTACCCAGCTGTATCCTTAACACCACTGCATTGGATTTTGCCTTATGAAAATAATGCAACGAAATCAAGCAAAAATGAACTGCTTAAAATTAAATTATATATGAAATTGAAGAGGCTCAGTATTCAACTAGTAAGATTTCTAGAGAAAACAAATACAATGAAATGAAAATTATGAAGTAAATAAGTGACTCTTTGAGAAGCAAGTAAGTGTTCCTAGAGTGAAATGATCCTACTGAGAATCCAAATTAATGAATGAGAGAAGTCCAGCATTCACTGTATCCTGACATTCCAGTATTTCTGGCATAAAGGTTTTAAAACTCTCATATGGAAGGAATAGATCACATACACATACAGAGAATAAATAACTTGAAAGTCTTTCTCTATTTCAAAAAAACAAGGCTGAAGAGAAGAAACAGAAAGAAGGTTTTTGCGACTCTGGATGAATAGACTTTTCAGTAAGAATAGGATATATGAATGCTCAGTTGTGGGAGGTAAATCACAGACATTTGGGTCTAAAAGTTGTCTAAGTACTTTCTTCCATGCTTCATTCTCAGCAACCTACCAGATGATATGCTCTTTCTAAATAAGGAAATAATTCAGGACAGAAGAGAAAATGGGGACATCATTGACATACTGAACCGGGACAGGTAAATCCCTGAGGATAGCTGTGTCAGGAAGCTTGGAGAGTGCACTGTTCAATATGGGATCAGAAGCCTGAGGGTTCTGCAGGAATGTGTGCTTTCTTAAAAGCGTATGATGCTCTTACCTGAAATATATGAGAGTCTGGGATAAAATGCTTTGAGAGGTTCATAGGAGACTAAGAAAAAAGTACTGTACTTACTAACTTCAGGGGAAAAGTAAAAACAAGGAGTTGAAGAAACCTCTGAAGTAGAAAGAATATTTAGAACATTTCTTCTCTATCTGTAAACAATATTTAAGCAGCTATGTTAGTAACAGCACTAAATATAGTTTTAAACAAAATTGTTTTAAAATGCTATTGAGAAGTTCAGGGGCAGGCAGCATGTAGTGGACCAATGGTCAGTGTGTAACCCCCAGCTGAACTGAATCAGCGTGGTGTGGGCATGGAGGACCCACCTGAAGATTGTTATCAGTAGCCATAAAGAGAGAACTGGGGAGGAAGATGTTGGCCCGTTGATTTTCTAGGAGAAGCTTGCTGCAGATGGTTTTCCTGATGTGAAGTAGGCTGTTCTCATCAGAGGAGGAGCTCAGGACCTCGCTATTGCTGGGAATGGCTTCTTTTTTCATCAGGGGAGCTCTGACCTTCACCGTGGCTTCCTGGCTCCAATGTGGACCTCTCAGTTTGGTAGCTCAGATCCTTCATCTCATGAGCATAGATTTTCTGGCTTCCCCCACTGGCCTTTGGGTTTTCCTGGTGCATATCCTCGATATGGAAAAGCATGGGACATTGCCATGGGCTGTAGGTCACTGGCTGGACTCGAGAAGGACATTGCCTTGGACTCTAAGCCTTTGGCTGGATTTGGGTGGGACACTGCTTGCATCTAGGCCCTCAGCTGAATGTTTTGGGCTTCTACTGTGTGGTCAATCTCTTGCACTCCTTGCATTTGACTCTTTGGATAATTATAAAAAATAACCTTATAACTCATGTGTCCTGTATTTAATGGATTCCCTCATCCCATCCTGCTGACTATAGCAAAGCATAAATATTTGTGTGTGAAGAGAGAGGGTCAAGAGTCCTTGATTGTATCTTCCATTGCAGGTTGGTAAATAATGTTTAAAATGGAACAGTTGAAAAAGAATAATGCTATTATATATAAGGATAAGGATAAATACCAGAAGCAATACATAAGAAACTTGTGTTTTGTTTTGAGGGGTAAAAATGTTGAGTATGAAGAGTCAAGGGATAATGATTTTAATTGTATTGGATATTACAAAATACATCCATTTTGCTATCACACAAATCAATATTATTGAAAATTAAAAGAAGAAAAACACTCAAAAGATTGTTTTAAAAGTCAAATGTAATGACGTGGTGTACCTTTATTAAACTGCCATATATTTATTATTAGGGCCTCCAAACAGAAATAAAGAGAAACAGAACACTGTAAAAGGGACCAAGATAATGGAATTCTTGCCATTAACCATCAATGTGAGACAGCACAAGTCATTTCCTTACTTGAAGCATGAACTTGGTCATGTGTAAAATAAAACAATAGGTTCTGTCTGCTCCTTAGAGTTCTGTGAAGCTCTTGTATGCAAAAAAAATTTTCTCTATCATTGCTGTTTCATAGAGGATAGTTATTGTCTCTAAAGATCAAATTCACTAGCCTTGATAAGTGGATTTTGTCAGAGATTTATTTCTACTTCCTGAGATTAGTCATCTAGAATGTTCCTTCCATCTCTCTATCCGTCCACCATCCATCTGTGCCTCCTCATGTATCCATCTAGGGAACCTTTCATCTGTCCATACATCCTTCCAACCATCCACTCATTTCCCAAAGAAACAATCATACAGGACAACAGTAGATGTTTTGGATGTTGGATGCAGGGTCATTTCTCGTCATAATCTGGCCTGTCACCATGGCTCCTTGTCTACTGTGGGTTTCCTTTTGCTCTCTGTATAAGGCAAGAAAATAGAAGCATAAATATTTAACCTTCAAAAAGGGATTCATTTACTGGAAGTCTGACTGTTTGAAGCAGGGTTATAAATCTTTCTGAGGTATTTCAATATGCATAAGAGAACGAAACCACATGAATGACGGGGCTAACTTTAACCTTTGATTGTTTAAAAGCAAAGATTGTTTTCCTCCCTTTTAAAAAATGGAGCCTCTGAACATATATATGACTGTCAGGCATTCATGATGAAATTTATCTTTTAAAATGGCCCCTCCTATCCGCTATCACACTTTGAAATTTATGTCAAGACTGTCAAGGAGCTACAAGGAAATTATCCTTTCTAGCCGCCTATAGGTTTTCTAATGCCGAGAGAGAAACATTCTACGACGATAGATTCAAAGAGAAATTCTCTTTCTCTGGTGTCCTGTCAATAAGAAGAAGGCGAAGGTGGATCCTCAGTGCAAAGATAGGTGACAGACTCCTGCAGACTGAAGTATATTGCACCACTCATGAATTGTTTCTGAGGGCTGTGTTTAATTAAAAACATCTGTTAGCCGGTGACACTGAATTTAATCCATTCTCTATACACAATACTGTCTTAGATGCTAAGACAAAATTTAATCTAAGTAAATACAGAAGTTGAACAAAACTGCTCACATACTCAAACTTAAATGCTCCTTCCTCCTTTGTGTCTTATTTGTGTCCTCAATGGATTGGGAGATGTTACCCCGTTTTGATGAGAACAATTCTTATTTACTTCATTTATTAATTCAAATGCTAGTGTCTTCCAGAAGCACCCTCACAAACACATCCAAACGTCCTGTTTATCCAGCACTAGGGAGATCCCTTAGCCTAGTCAAGTTGACACAGAAAACTGACCATCACAGACCCTAACCACTTTCCATACAGAAGTTTTGAATATCTTTTTCAACGACAAACAATACTATTTTCAGCTCTGTCAAGGGTTCTAATGTCTTTTGTAAACTCCATCATGGGCACAAGATCCTGCATTGCCTTTTCTGCTCCACTTCCCCCCCCACTTCTGCTGCCTCTTCGACCTGAGGCCCATCTACACTGGGCCTGGTTGTCTCGTGAGCATGACAGTGCTTTTCTCCTTCTGGACATTTATACCAGAAGGCCCCTCTGCTGGGGATGCTCTTCCTTCTCCAGCTCTGTTGAATGACTGGATACTTCTCCATATTTGCTCAAATATCAGGATGTCAAGAAGATGGTGAATTCTCTACTGAAATTGACCACCAGCCCATGTCTCTTTGTCTCAACTTGTCTTAACCGGATGAGTGACAATCAGCAATTAACTTGATGAAATCATCTAGAAATTTTTAAAAGGTTCTGTCTGCTCATTTCTACTGTAATTCTAGCACAGTGCTGGCACTAAGAAGTTACAGAATAAATATCTATTAGATAGATGTGTAAGTATGAGTGGGTTCCTTCAAACATGGAAACCATGAAGAAGAGTGAATAATGAACTCATGAGCTCACTGCCAGTTGTTCCTTCTTGATTCCACCTGTAGGTTTTGGGGTGCCAGTGGCTGTAACTAGCTCCTGCTCAAAGAAAATAATCTGCACTTGCTCTTAGCCAAAAGGCCGAGAAGAGATCAAAGAGAATAATCTGTCCATTACTCCCTCTGTACATCAGAATGTGCCTGAAGGCCCGTAAGTTGATGCCCACTTCTCTTATTATTCAGTGTTTGTGCAGCAGACAGGAGCTGAGCATCTGCTCTGCACCAGGAATGAGTGAGAAACTCACTGCAAACACAAAAGTACAACCTCTTTCAAGATAGCTCAGAGGATAAGATAAACATAGCAACCAGACTTCTGGGGTTAAATCCCAGCCCTGAGTTGTACTAGCTGTGTCTTGTAGAGCCAATACTTCATCTCTACTTACATCTGTTCCTTCATGTACACTGTGGAGAAAAAAACAGTGCCTGTCTCATGAGACTATTGGGAAGATTTGATGAGTTTTTATTTTCCACTTCTTAGGATCTGGTATAAAGTAACTGCCATGAAAATACCAAAACACAAATCCAAGTATTCTCTTCTTTCAGAAGCTGATAGAGTTTTGTGTTTATCCATGTTTATCTGGTTTCAAACTTCCTCAAAACTCTTTCTTATTTTATGCTCATTCTTCCTGCTCAGTTCCTATATATCTCTGTCATACTTTGCTTCTGACCTGCTGTTAGTCCTTGCACACAGCACCTTTCTCCTCCATGATAAAAAAACAGTGAATGAATGAAGGAATGGGTGCAATGAGAGGTCAGATCTCTCCAAGCTCGAAGTGAGATGCTCGGCTTTGCAGCTGCTATCTTCCCTCATCTCCACTTCTGGCCCAACCCTTTCAAACGTCCCTTAATACTTCTGATCTGGATTTACTTACTGTAACTCCTTGATGCTTTACCTGCCCACAGTTTGCTGGTACCATCACACTTATTTCAAGCTTCCAAGCTGAACTTTTATTTGAATCAATTTTTGTTGGGAGAAACTTCCAGCAACTGACACAATACATACGACTATAATTTTCCTCTAGCATTTCTGCAGTTCCTGTGCAATTAAGCTTCTGAAAGCAGGCACAGTACTTGGCACTTTTTAATCAGTGGCACTTAACATGAAAGTCTTACCTCTTCACCAAACCTCTAAACACTAGACAGTGTTTTGCTTTTGTAGGCTTGGCTGTTTCACCAGCCCTCGGAACAAATAGTTCACCTACTGCTGTTATTTAGACAGGTGAAGACTCACATGGTATCAGGCAACTGGGCACTGACACAGACAGTGAAACAGTAGGACCTGTGTCACTATCTACACTGCAGATACAGAGATCTCCCCTTGGAGATGGGAATGATTATACATATTAATTCTATCTCTGGTCTCCCAGAAGTGAATATGATCATATTCAATTTGAGTAATCAACCTGTCCCTAATTCTTGATCAGAAGAATAAAATTAAAATTTGTCCTTATATTTTCATGTGTATAAATACAATTTGATTTCTGCTTCAACACACAAAATTGTTTCTTTTTTGAAAAACTTGAATGAATCTCAGTCCTGAATGGAACTTTAGATTTAATTTAAACATCATCACAGTGTCCACATCCTTAATCTGGGTTAGGCTCAAAGTGTGGCCCACTGACATTTGCCGTTTGAAAGATAACTTTTTTCTCTACAATTAAGGCATTGACACAATGTGTGGTCAGGATGTTCCTAATTAGCATTTATTAACATTTGTTCCTTTTCAAGGACTCCAAGTGTTAAACTTGTTTTTTGACCCTGCAAAGGGAGATAGTTAAAGATCTGACGTTATCTGTAGGAGTCAGGTGCTTCCTGTTAAAGATCTGACATTATCTGTAGGAGTCAGGTGCTTCCTGTTAAAGATCTGACATTATCTGTAGGAGTCAGGTGCTTCCTGCTGAGGTGCCTTTAAAAGGAGCTGTTTCTGTGAAGTAAGTCAGACTTCTCTTGGTCTCCACTCAGGCTTGAGTGGTC